TTTGGCTGATATATATGATCCACAAAACTCTACCAATCATAACGAGATCATAGTAAGGCTTGAACGTGAAAATGATTAGATGCAACGTAGACTTGATCGTTTGCATGTAATCAAGCTTGCAAAAATTGAGTATTTCGATCCTGACTATGTTGAGATTTAAATTTTACAGGATTTGTTACTTGTTTTCGATATTGAACTTTCTGATTATTCTGATTTAAGTTATGATGCGTCTGATACATTTATTCCATCGAGTTTATGTGTACTCGATAATCTTCTATATTGTTTTCTACATCAACCACAATATTAACACAGTGTATTTCTTACAGTCTCATATAATACAATTGTTTTGTTTAATGTACAAATATCTTTTTACATATTTTCATGTTTTGTACACTTTTTATAGGTCAACTCTCATTGTTCAATGAACTTATAACATAAAATTGGAATAGATAATTTTTTAACATATAGAAAACAAATTGGTCAAAATTTGTTAGCATTTTTTGGTTGTACTGCACTAAATTAACTTTTTTTAATTTATAACTTGATTTTTTAGTAGCTTTCAAAGTTTATAAATTTTTGTGCGAAACAGGCTAATAATTTATTTTTTTAGCAAACAAAACACTACTGAACCAAAAAAATAATATCATTAACAAACTCATACAACTGCGTTAAATAATTTAAAAATATTTTTTTATAAATTTATGCAATGACATTTTTAAGCCAACAATTTTTTTAACATCTGTTATGCTATGCCATTTGAATTCACTTCTTTTAAAGTCATTCTCACTTACGTTTTTAACGACGTCATTACAAATGACGATTTACATAAAAAAATTCAATTTAAAATAGTCATTCCAAATGACGTTTTAACCTGTGAAGACATCATTCCAAATGACGTGTTTAAAAGAGATTGAGTTTGAAAAATAAGTTTAAAACTGACTGGATTAGGGAATAAAGTTTTGAGGGAGACTAGTTTTGGTCAAAACCTCTGCAAATGCCTAAAACAAATGACAGATTAAGTATTAAAAAAAATAAGTACTCAAAGACTTATAGAATAAATTAATAATTAAATTTAATAAGAATTAATTATTCGATATCAAATTTATTATTTAATTTAATTACACATTTAATTCATTTTTTTTATAAAAATTATTATTTAAATTTATTTACGTGCAACACACGTCATGCATCGCTAGTGAAATTAAAAGTTCCTAAAATGTTAACAATAAAACTAAACTACTAAAAATCAAGTCTTAATCCCCTAACAAAGTCAAATTCAAATTTATCATCATAATTTTTCAATTATTCTCTCCTCTCTCTCTCTCTCTCTCTCTCTCTCTCTTATAATCAAGTTCAACTATAATAACAAAAATTTGAATATAAAAACTTAATTAATTTTTTCTAGACCCAAAATGTCCCTACTTTATTTAAGTGAGTGCCGCCATCGATTCCACGTACACAACTAATTACAGTTTTCTTGTCCAATCTCTAATACCTATCCCAATGCTAGAGAAAATAGTCCCATCAAAATTTACCTTTGAAAGTGTCTTGCGTTAGTTGTCATCTACTTGCTGTAGCAATGAAAAAAAGTTTATTTCAATTTTTATTGTCTAAAATATCCTCAATAGTTGAAAATTGCAATAAATCAAAACTTATTTGATAAAAACTAAAAATTCATAAATTGAGAATTGTATTAGCATTAAAATTATTTTTCTATCATCTACAATTTATATATATATAATAAAAAATAATTTTAATACTAACACAATTTTCAAGTTAAGTGTTATTATATTTGAAAAACATTAAAACTAACAATAATATGCAGTATTTATAGTAGGAGTAATTAGGTAATGCAAAAAAAAAAAAAGAATTTCAAATGTTTACTTAATAACAATAATTTGATAAAAAAAGAAGATTTAATGGAGTATAAATTTGACTATAATACTTAAGGTATGCAATTCTGAATTTGAATTGCATACTTTTGTTCAGATTCCTAAGGGATATTTATACTTGAGCTAGTAATGATTGGGAGATTTTTGAGTCTCATCTCAGCATTTAATGGCTTACACTCATATCCAAGTATAATGAGTGCAATCTCATCAATCTCCTCAAGACTAATCCCTTCGGATGAGTGAATCCATGCACAGGAACATTTGAGCATTCATTGCCCATCCCCTGGGAATAAGCACCTCAGGGTTCATAGAGGACAGCGAATCGGCACAATGACAATTAATGCCTTGTAATGATAATTGTCTTCACAGGTAGGGATAACAGTGGATCGGAAAAAAATGGGTATTCGTCAAAATTTACCCTGTTTAGACCGGATACGTATTGGACGATAGACGTATACGGGGATATCCATATAAATCCGTGAAGGAATGAAGGCGGGGATAAACTTACCCTTACCCCCGCTCCGTCTCCACTATCCTTGTTAAAAATATATATCTATATTACTAATAAAAGTACCTTACATGAAAAACTTTTGATTTTCTCTTTTACTCTTAAACAAAATTATAATGACAATTATACCTCATACTAATAATTCGTTCTAAATGTACAAAACTTTTGAATTTCTATTTTGTCTTTAAAAAAATATGTGAAGACACTTATGACTTACATCATCAAAAATTGACCTTGTGTATAGTATTAAAGAAACTTACAAATTCAATGATTGTCAATATATTTATATCTAAATCTAAATCTATCTCTACTACTTCTAAAAGGTTATTATACCGAAAAAAAATTGTCTTCATTATTCTCAAACAATTATATAAAGTCAAATTAGTGTTACTTTCTTTCATTCTCGCCTTCTATTCTATATTAAAATACCTATAGTCAAGAAGACTCCTCTGATTCTCTATGACTCCATCTCCACCAAAAACTAAACTCTATTTTTATACTTTTCATTTAGTCCTAACTTTTAGACTTCTAAAATAAATTTAACTTCTAACTCTTAGACTTCTAGAATAAATAGTTTTAATCAAATAATAGTTTATTTAACTTTTGGTTTAGACTTTTAGAGTTTATATTCCACTACCCATTGTCTTAAAGCTTTTATAAGGTTCATTGTTTTTTAGAGACAATGTCCAGCAAGCCACGAAGCCGCCTATTCCAGTAGCCTAGCCTTTGTTTTCCACCAACTACTATTATATCTTGCTTCAGCCCTTAAATTTTGTCATATACTTGTTTTAGTGATTTAACTCGGGGCATTATGACTTATTGACTTGATTTTGATTAATAGAGAAAATCATGTAATAGACATTCTGATAAACTGTGTATTCTTTACCTTAATGTTGCTTTTCTGGTCATTTTACTTATTAAAAAATTCTTTTATACATCTTTTTGTCTACCTTGAGTTTCAAAATTATTGGTATTTATTGATATTGGGAAATTCAAAGGGAAATGATGCATTGGTTGACTCTATTTTCATATTAAGGAATTCTGTATCGGTAATAAGAATGTCGGGATACACACTCCCTTTTTGGTTGTTCTATAAAGTAAAGTTAATAAGAGAAACAAATGATGTTGTTATTACTAAGTTATTCTAATTTTNACTTTTGATTTTCTCTTTTACTCTTAAACAAAATTATAATGACAATTATACCTCATACTAATAATTCGTTCTAAATGTACAAAACTTTTGAATTTCTATTTTGTCTTTAAAAAAATATATGAAGACACTTATGACTTACATCATCAAAAATTGACCTTGTGTATAGTATTAAAGAAACTTACAAATTCAATGATTGTCAATATATTTATATCTAAATCTAAATCTATCTCTACTACTTCTAAAAGGTTATTATACCGAAAAAAAATTGTCTTCATTATTCTCAAACAATTATATAAAGTCAAATTAGTGTTACTTTCTTTCATTCTCGCCTTCTATTCTATATTAAAATACCTATAGTCAAGAAGACTCCTCTGATTCTCTATGACTCCATCTCCACCAAAAACTAAACTCTATTTTTATACTTTTCATTTAGTCCTAACTTTTAGACTTCTAAAATAAATTTAACTTCTAACTCTTAGACTTCTAGAATAAATAGTTTTAATCAAATAATAGTTTATTTAACTTTTGGTTTAGACTTTTAGAGTTTATATTCCACTACCCATTGTCTTAAAGCTTTTATAAGGTTCATTGTTTTTTAGAGACAATGTCCAGCAAGCCACGAAGCCGCCTATTCCAGTAGCCTAGCCTTTGTTTTCCACCAACTACTATTATATCTTGCTTCAGCCCTTAAATTTTGCCATATACTTGTTTTAGTGATTTAACTCGGGGCATTATGACTTTATTGACTTGATTTTGATTAATAGAGAAAATCATGTAATAGACATTCTGATAAACTGTGTATTCTTTACCTTAATGTTGCTTTTCTGGTCATTTTACTTATTAAAAAATTCTTTTATACATCTTTTTGTCTACCTTGAGTTTCAAAATTATTGGTATTTATTGATATTGGGAAATTCAAAGGGAAATGGTGCATTGGTTGACTCTATTTTCATATTAAGGAATTCTGTATCGGTAATAAGAATGTCGGGATACACACTCCCTTTTTGGTTGTTCTATAAAGTAAAGTTAATAAGAGAAACAAATGATGTTGTTATTACTAAGTTATTCTAATTTTTAATTAAAATTTATTTTTTTTCTTTCGGTTAAAGGTATAGATTTTTCATTTTTTTTTGCGTTTGTTTTTTGGTACTAAGATTAATATTGTTTAGTGTTTTGCATTGTTTGCATGATTATTCGATATTTATTTGAAATATGAATTACTCGAATTTATTGTGTTTCTTATGTTATAGTCAAAATTTTTAATGTAATATGACTCAAATTTGTCATATTTCTAATGTTACACCGGTATAAAAGACTCCAATTTATCGTATTTTTATTGTTACAATAGAATATTTTGTGTTATGGTTGAGCTGAATTTTTTATAATTACTAATGAAATAAAATATATATTAAAACTCAAATGCACGCGTCATTCAACTAGGAACCCTATTTTACATTCTTACTCTCCTCAGGCATCTACCCGCCTGGGGCGCCTCCATCCTCACAGTCACTGTCTCACAGGTCGTTCCTCAACGCCGTCGCCGACTGCTCCTCAGTCCTCACAGCCTCACGGTCACAAGTCGGTCATCTCTCTCACTCTCATATTTTTCTCTGATAAGCTGAATCTATTTGATAGATCTATTTTCTTCAGACAGCACAGCACAAATTCGCACAGTGATCTAGCAGTAGCAGGGGTAAGTGATGATACGAACTGTTCAATGTGCATTTTAGAAATTCGCAGCACAAATTCGCACAGTCATGTTTAGAAACGTTCACACCTGCTGATTTGTATTTAATATTTTCTGTAATTTGATTGCTCTCATGTGGGTTTTGAGTAGTTATTGAAATCTGCTCGGTAAATGCAAAGATTCAGCAACTTTGGAAATCAAATTGTTTTGTGCGTATGCTTGGGAACTTGATAACTAAATATTGAATTATTTTTAGATGCTTATTTTTCTTTCTCAATTAATTTATTAATAACACATTTAACAATGTGTTGTTCTAGATCTTTAATTTGACAAGATATTACTCAGTAGTTGATTTACATTTTCTTTCTATGGTATTGTGGATTATTTAATGAAGTATTTTGAATTTGTTTTCCAATAAACTTGTGAAGTTATATGCTGCCCAATACTATTGGGGAGAAGTTTGTGTGTATAAAGGGGCATTGGATCTGTTTATGCATTTTGGTCCTTGAACCATACGTGCTGCCGTTTATGCCTTTAGGAACGAGGTAATGAAGAGCCGAGGTAATGAAATTTTTGTATGTGCATCATAATTTTTTTGGGGGTAAAAGTATGACTAATACATTTTTTTTTTTTGTTAGGTTCATCTACCTCGACGGGCCTGGAGAGCTACACATTATTGGAGAATCTTGATATTGATGATGAGGTATATCGTTTTAGTTGAAAATTTCTCTATGAAAGAATCTAATTTTTTTTTTCTTTTAATGATGTTGAAGAAGTAGTTCTTCCACCACCGATGGTGTTAAGGGATGATTGAATTGGTAACTTTTCAATTTCAATCAACTCAACTCCATTAGTAAATACAAAATATTTTTTATGCAATTATTATAATTTTTTATATATTGTTTTCTTTATTAAATTACAGGTGTTAAATTACATGGAAGAAAAGTTACCCTATTTTCCCTTGTGACAATCTGTTAAAGCCCTTAAATTTCAGAACCCCCAAAACCAAAACCTAATCGCTCGCAAAAATGGCATTCTCCAGAGCTCGCACAGCTTCCTTGACACTCCTCCACACATTCCTCCTCCCTCCAATCCGCCATTTCAATACCACTCCTCTTCAGTCTCGCATATCATCAACGATGATGATGAATCAAATGCAAACCCTCGATATCAGCTCCCAAATCGGAAGCTGTATGCCCTTATCCATGATGCGAATCGGAACCCTAATTCACAACATTGAGCTCAGACCGGGCCAAGGAGGCAAGTTGGTCCGAGCCGCTGGTACTTCGGCCAAGATCTTGACGGTGCCCTCGAAGTCGACTAGGTTCTGTGAAGTGAAATTGCCGTCCGGAGTGAAGAAACTGATTGATACCAAGTGCCGGGCTACGGTTGGGCAAGTGTCGAACCCGGAACATAGAAAGAAGAAGTTGAGAAAGGCGGGGCAGAGTAGGTGGCTTGGGAGAAGGCCGGTGGTGAGAGGTGTGGCCATGAATCCTGTTGATCACCCTCACGGTGGTGGGGAAGGGAGGAGTAAGAGTAGCGGGAGACATGGTCGGACTTCGTTGACGCCATGGGGGAAGCCGTGCAAGAGTGGGTATAAGACTGGGCCACTCAAGCGCAAAAAGTAGTCTTAATTAGAAATGTAATTTTTTTCATTTCACATGCTTACTTGTTTTGTGGTCAATGAATTGGGGTTTTATTGAGGATTGTTGAGTTACTATCGTCAAAATGTTCTTGCTTCTTGTTTGGGTTTTGGGATTTTAACATGGTAACACATAGTTCAAACTTCATCAACGTTTTTATCGTTTTGATAGATGAGCTGACTAATTACATCAACAGAAACTCGGAAGTGATAAAAGTAGTTGGTTGACTTTATCAAGATTGTTAGCAGGCCATGGTAGATGCAGTGGTATTTTCCTTCTTGCTGATAACTTGGGATGTATTTGTTGATATTGATGACTCAAGTACTATATCTGTGTCTCAGTTTTTCGCGATGATTCAAATACTAATACCGTGCCTCAGTTTTTCCCCTTTTTTGTTTAATATGATACTCACGTTCTTAATTGGATATTTTTGGTTGATTGGTTGTTTGAATTGGTTTTTGTCTTAAATTTGTAGAAAAGTGGTGCCATTTGAGCAAAATACAGATTTTCCAGAGAATCAGTTAGTGTTGCTAAGGGAAAAAATAGAGTTGCTGCCAAAAAATGTGTTGTGTATTTGCTAGGAAGGAAAAATGTATTTGTGTTTTCAATTGTGCGTTGTGTATTGGAATAAAAAATGTGTTGAATGTGTTACATTGGCAGAAAGGTTCAATTTTGTGCAAGCTTTAGGGTGCTGTCGACCATTGGTGATTGTAATGGTGAGCCTGTTGAGATTGAATTTAAGTTAATTTGTTCATTTTAGGATTTGCTTGTTGAGTTGGTTAGATGTGTTTGTGATACAATAGATGCAGGGCTATTGCTTCCTTTCATTTGCTTGCTTAGAATATGGGCATTGTTGGACTTTGATACCTGACTTTATTTTAATTTTGTTTTTGTGGTGGTTGTGGCTGTTTAGTTGTATGATATCTTTTTTAGTTTATATTTGCAATTTGGGGGAAGTGAACTTTTTTTTTTTCGGGTCAGAATCCATCATTTCATTGATACCAAACAAACAATCAATACAAGTTTAGGAATACATCATTTCATCTGTACCAGCTTGGACATCCCTAGAACACATATTCTGCAATTCTGTAGGTATACAGTAGTTCCATTGTGCATGAAGATTTCCTCTAATAGCCTGAGAGGCTACCCAATGGGCTGTTACTCTCTCTTCCAATCACTCTCCATTCCATAGCAGTCATGTGCTTGGCAAACTCCCAAGTATCCAGCTGTGTGGTGGTCCTTTTTGTAGAGACTCGATCAACATCATCGAATCGGATTCTATGATGGTTGCTGGACAGTTATTTTCCACTGCCCAATTGCAGGCTCTTATTACTGCCCATACTTCAGCTAACAGTGGGAATCTTGCTGCCATCACCCCAAATTCACAGCAAAGGATGCCTCCATCAGGGTTCCTAACTATTAAGCCATATGCCTCTTTCTGATCCTCCTCCTTAAAACTTCCATCACAATTAATCTGGATCCATCCCAATGGGGGTGTAGTCCAAGCAGGTTTCTTCATTCCCTTCCCCACTCTTGACATCTCGGCCTATTATTACAACTCACTATTCATCATTGGCAAATACAACTTGGTTTATTACTGCTCTATATGACATCAATCTATGCTGAAAGGACCCATTGGTTTCTTGCTTTCCAGAAGGACCACAACAAGAAAGCCACCAATGACTGTCCTATACCTTTAATATAGAGATTTCATGACTCCAACAATCAATTTTCTATTCACTCCGTATCTTGCAAGTCTAGGAGCATATCAAAAATNTCTTCCACTCCATTCTAATATAGAGATTTCATGACTCCAACAATCAATTTTCTATTCACTCCGTATCTTGCAAGTCTAGGAGCATATCAAAAATAGATGCTCCAATGNTTGGGTCAGAATCCATCATTTCATTGATACCAAACAAACAATCAATACAAGTTTAGGAATACATCATTTCATCTGTACCAGCTTGGACATCCCTAGAACACATATTCTGCAATTCTGTAGGTATACAGTAGTTCCATTGTGCATGAAGATTTCCTCTAATAGCCTGAGAGGCTACCCAATGGGCTTTTACTCTCTCTTCCAATCACTCTCCATTCCATAGCAGTCATGTGCTTGGCAAACTCCCAAGTATCCAGCTGTGTGGTGGTCCTTTTTGTAGAGACTCGATCAACATCATCGAATCGGATTCTATGATGGTTGCTGGACAGTTATTTTCCACTGCCCAATTGCAGGCTCTTATTACTGCCCATACTTCAGCTAACAGTGGGAATCTTGCTGCCATCACCCCAAATTCACAGCAAAGGATGCCTCCATCAGGGTTCCTAACTATTAAGCCATATGCCTCTTTCTGATCCTCCTCCTTAAAACTTCCATCACAATTAATCTGGATCCATCCCAATGGGGGTGTAGTCCAAGCAGGTTTCTTCATTCCCTTCCCCACTCTTGACATCTCGGCCTATTATTACAACTCACTATTCATCATTGGCCAATACAACTTGGTTTATTACTGCTCTATATGACATCAATCTATGCTGAAAGGACCCATTGGTTTCTTGCTTTCCAGAAGGACCACAACAAGAAAGCCACCAATGACTGTCCTATACCTTCTTCCACTCCATTCTAATATAGAGATTTCATGACTCCAACAATCAATTTTCTATTCACTCCGTATCTTGCAAGTCTAGGAGCATATCAAAAATAGATGCTCCAATGCCTCCTCCTCTCCACAGATTAGGCACATGGGAGATTTCATCATATTTCTTCTCCATAGACTCCATTTAGTTGGCAAAGATCCTGTGACTTCCAGAGAAACATTTTAACTTTTGGTGGGGCCTATAACTTCCATATAATTTGCCATAACTCCTCAGGCACCTTAAATGAACATGTGGCTTTATTACTCCTTCCATGGTGACATGTTCCAGATTGCATCTTGTTATAACCACTTCTCACAGTGTACTGGCCGCTAAAAGTACTAGACCACCTCATAATATCTCCCTGTCTCCCGTTTGTTTGGCTCAGTGGCAATGCCAAATTTACTTTAGACACATCAAGAGAAAAGATAGGCTCAAGAAGAATATGTTCCCTTCTATATGGTCCTTATTAACCAGCTCCTCCACCTATACCAAAGGGTTGTTTCCTTCATTAGGTAGGTTCCCAAATCCTGGTACNGGTTGTTGAATGCTAAAAGTACTAGACCACCTCATAATATCTCCCTGTCTCCCGTTTGTTTGGCTCAGTGGCAATGCCAAATTTACTTTAGACACATCAAGAGAAAAGATAGGCTCAAGAAGAATATGTTCCCTTCTATATGGTCCTTATTAACCAGCTCCTCCACCTATACCAAAGGGTTGTTTCCTTCATTAGGTAGGTTCCCAAATCCTGGTACCTAGTTTGATTTTTGCCTTTTTTGAGGTTGTCCCACTACGTGGTCTTTTTTTGGAATGACTCTGGTTTCCGATTAAGTTATGATACCTGGGTTTTTGCTATTTTGTTGGATCATAATGGCTAAAGCATACTAACAGGGGCCTATTAAGTTTTACCTGATTCTTCAATTATGCATTGTAGTTGATTGTGGTTGTTGATTTTGTTTGCTGTCTGATTCATTTAACCTCTAGAGCTCTATGTTACAATGGACTTTTGACTCCAATTCTAAATGAACTTCGGTATTTTAGGGTTTAAAATAAAGTGTATGTTAATGTTTTGATTTCTATGGGGTCATTGCCTTGGGCAATAGTAAAATGCTCGGGCTAGCAATTGTAAAGATGGGGCAATTATTTTGTGGCAAAAATACCGAATGTTAGATTTGTACCTAGTTTATTCCTCCTGAGACATTCGGTTGGGTGAAACCAAAAACCGGGTAATGCACTTTTCTAATAAAGTTTTGACAAATGTTTTTTGGATAGATATTGACAATTTTATTTGTATAAGTACTAACAATGCCACCGAAATAAACTTATAAATTGTGAAAAATCAGCTAAATGGGAATTGTGAGAAAAATATGATACTAAGAATTGCAGAAAATTGCAATTTTTCTGAAACATTTTTTAAGTGAATGAACAAACTTCCGTTGGATAAACTAACTTCCTTTTTTTTTTGTTGTGGGGGAGGGGGAGGGGGAGGGGAATGAGATGATTTAGGTGTTTTAGGTGATCTATTTTATCATGCATTAGTTGTTTCTCTTAAGAGTTTTATTCTGCATCTTTTACCCAGAACAATTGCATAGGGGAGAGAAATACAGGATACTTTGTGGCTTTCCTATTCTGGTGAGTTAAATAATATTTAATTGCACTTCAGATTATACTACCTATAATCGCATCTTTGTTTATTAATGTCACCTTTCCAGTACTGGCTCTCTACTTTGCTACCGCAGTATCTCATGGCTCTGTTCGATATATGAATTTAACTCTTATTTTCCTTTTCTCAATCTTTTGACTTGACAATTTCTGCGTTCCATGGATTTGAAATTTGAACAAACAAGGATGATTCTTTTGTTCTGTTGCCAGACTGATGCACAACAGCATTGGGAAGTTGGTTGTGCCGTGTAAAATTCATTTAATGGGTGTTACAGTTTACAAAAGCTTGCATGTTTAGGCTTTTAAAAGGTTGAAGCAAAGGGTTCCGGCCTTAAGGTCTGAAAAGGGTTCAAACTGACTTGATTTAAAACATATAGTGCACCGAAATTTCAGAGAACTAGATGCTGGAAATTCTGGCCAGCAAACAATTGTGGTGTTTTTCTGGTAAATTGAAGGCTAGGAAGAATGCTACACTTAAACCCAAACTTTTACCAATGTTATGTACAAAATCAATTAGGATTGTAAGATTAGTGGATCTCGTTAACTTTCAATATGGATATGCCACATCATTTTGTAATTTGATAAAAATTTCATAAGTAAAACTTTATTCGGCTACAAATTGGGAAATGGGAATACATTAGGATAAAATATTTGGCGTATGTATGGTTTGGTGGCTGTATAAAGTGCAGAAAAGGAGTGCCAAAGAATAATCACTCAGGAATTCCATTCATTAGTAAGAACCATCACCTCATCACACAAAAGCTACAAAGNACAGAAGAATAATCATTCAGGAATTCCATTCATTAGTAAGAACCATCACCTCATCACACAAAAGCTACAAAGCTTCTCATAGATTGTCAGCAATCTACTCTACCAGAAATAGAAGAAGTATATTGATGTTTATAGGCTTTCCAACTTCTCCTCATATTATTTGAACTAAGATTATTGAAATGGGAAACTATGATTATTATGGACACAGAGAGCAATGACCCAATAACATGATTCAGGATATGAACCATGGCTTACATCAATTGCCCTTATTTAGCAAGTAATAAAACTATGAATAGTCATAAAAGCTAAAAAGACATAAATAAAAATACACTAGTAGAA